GTTTTTCTTTCAACGTTGAGCTGATAAGCATACAATGTTATTTATGACTAACACATATCAAATATTGGCAGCTGACTCAAGTATTAACTTTTGTAAAAGAAGTATGGAGTACACACAGTTTCAGAAGTTCAGTAGGATTGCCCCTCGTCGAAATATTACTCAGCCTGTAGTTTCAATAAATTGGCTTCTCTTGCGGTAAAGTTCTGTTTGCAAATGGGTTTCTATGACTGCTTTTGGAGTAAGAGGAAGCTAGGTGAAGAATGTTGGAAAACAATCTATATGCTCAGAAGGAAAGAAGAACGCTAATATAGTGATTGTTCCCAAACACGTAGATGAGGAACTCGATGCCCTTCCTCATGCTTAGCTTCTATATGAGACCATATTACTAGTGAGTATTAGGAGCTTAGATTTTACTACCATTTATCACTAAGAACCTACGAATTGCCAGGTACACGAGTGGTTCAATCAGAATGATCTTATCTAGTCTTGCTTACGATAAGATCTGTTGGTCTTTGACTCTCGACAGGCAAACTGCCGATATAGTGCCATTCCTAAATAAACCATTATTTCAAAAAATTGCAGACTGTTTCCTAAAGCTGTTGAGACTAAATATTGTCATATCATATAATCGAAGTTTTCAAAAGATGTCGGAAATGTGAATTTTTTTTCATTGCGACAATTTCTTGAGTGTGCTGCTTCATTCTATAATTTCCGCTGCTTGGAATTAATCTGTAAAATGAATTTGCTCTAGTCATCTTTTGCTTCGCTAGTGGCTCTTCAGGATACACATAATCCTAATTTTGACATTAACGTTAAAACTAAATTCTTGTCTTTCTCTAAATGTACTTTCTAGGCGCTATAACGCGTTTTGCACTTTCCACCGCATCTCAGAATAATGAAATCAACTCTAAAAAATATTTTGAGGGATCTCTTGTTAAATTAGGATCACATAAAGCTGTGTTTTTTCATCTAGAACACAATAATCAAATTTAAAGCAAAGACAGGCCTAACCTGATTTTGCCGCAATTCGACACCTTAGCTCTGCCCTTTTTTCATTCATAACTTTTCTTACAATTTTGTTTTCAGCCGCCGCCAAAACTCCCTACGGTAGACGAGGTTAGGAAGGCAATACCACCACATTGCTTTGAGAAGAATCTTGTCAAGTCCATCAGCTACCTCGTGCAGGTCTTCAAAAAAACAATGACTGCTCCCTAGTTCCGTCAAATTTTCTGCTTTTTAGGATTTGCTGATTCTTGCCGGCCTCTACTTGATCTTACCCTACGTAGAACAGTATTTAGGTTGGATAGGATACCTTGCTTGGTTAGTTGATAAGAAGCTCATTACGACTTTTAACAGAGAACTTGTCTTTTAAGGTGTTGGGCATTTGGAATATGTGGCAGTGCCCTATTCGTGGTTGGTCACGACTGTGGACATGGCTCATTCTCAGAGTATGAATGGGTTAACGATCTCTGTGGGCATATTGCTCATGCACCAATCCTTGCACCATTCTGGCCATGGCAAAAGAGCCATCGACAACATCATCAGGTCAGCTC